TTTTCTCTTTTTCTATCAGAGACAACTACTGTTCTCTGCGTGGCGCTGTACCGCAGGGAGGCGGGGAGGGATCACGCTGTATCGTAGCACGCTGTTCTCTTCACAGCAGACACAGAGCGAGTGTCACCGGTTCATTTATTTCCCTGCAGATGGAGGCCACTCGAGCTCAATGTGGCCTCAATGTGGCAGCATGTAAAGCTTAAAGGATAAGTCTGGTTTATTACAACTCGGGTTTATACTCAGGAGATTTTGCCATCTTTTCTTATTGTTAAGAAAACATTGTTGAACACGGCAATACCCTGAAATGAAGACTGACAGGTGAACACTTGGAAGAGTCCGGCCAGATAAGCTAAATAACTTATTTTTTAAAGTCTTTATATGTGATTTTTCACACTTAAATGTATAAATAAAGTATATCCTCTGAAAATAACTCTGTGAGTCATGACTGTCTACAATGGGTGTAACACCCGAGTCCCACTGTCTGTGATGCTTTCAGAGTTTTCAGAGTCCTATCTTCAGTTTGTTTACATCGCCCGGACGGCCGGCTGACTCCTCCCCTCGTGTATAAAAGTTGTTTAATTGAGGGACTAGAGAAAAGAAGAATAACATACTGTACTCACTGCTTAACTGTGTTTCTAGATCACGCTCATTTCAGGTAAATTTACATGCAGTGTGAAGATACCAGCATAATAAAGATCGCTAGCATTAGCATGCTAACACAAAAAATGCTGCGCGAGTCGTTTTGGTTTCATGCTGGTGCTCAAGGGCGACATCTGCTGGATCAAAAAAATCGCACATAAAGCCTTTAAAAAGTTAAAACACCAAAGATGTCTGATATGATCCTACATCGTGAAGGAATGTGTGCTCTAAAACTACAAAAAACTACAGGAAGACAACTTAAAACAAATCTGTCTTATAACAGCTTTTAGAACACAATCTGATACTCATAACTCTATTTTACCTTAATTGTCAATTTGAATGCACCTACAGTATGCACCACCAAATAGGGACGATGCAAGCTGAGGCTGCAAGGAGAATGTCACACTGTCCACAGAGGCAGAACGATGCAATGTCCTACAAAAAGCAGTGCTTATAACCCTGTGTTTTGGACGTACTGTATATGGCAGTCTCCTTATTCCTCTCAGCCCTTTCTGACCCCTAGCATGATTTTTTCAAACCCCTTACAATCCAGAGAGCGACCCTGAGCTGACCTGTTTTGAGCAACATCTCCAGGGTGTAACTGTCCTCCACAATGAAGCCTGGCCTGGCTTGGCCTCTCTCCACTTTGGGCCTTTTTAGCCCCGTCGCTGTGACCGGGAAAAAGAGAGGGCTACATGCGCACAAGAGAAGGCGTTGTGTGCCTCTAACGCTGTCATATCAAACTCTCTGACCCCTCACATCTACCCTTAACCTCCCTGAAAAACCTCGCCCTGACTCAGTGCGGCCCTGCTCTGCCTGAGAGTGACAGCTGAGTTGACGGCAGCAGTACGCTTTGAAGTGTCGAGTCAAGTCCCTCCATTGTCTCTGCGAAGGAGAGCGCAGAGCCGCTCAAGTGCACAATAGTGCAGTGGTGTGTGCGTGCCGTTGTTCTCATACTTAACTGTGTGAGGGTGGCTCCATGTGTACATTTAGACTTGTCCGTGTGGGCAGACTCGGAGGAGCTGAGTTTGCCTTTTTCCTTTTTAGAGCCTCTGTATATATTATCCTTTTGTGCGGGGCCAAGCTGTTCTGCATCTCTAATGTGAGAAAAGCCTCCACAAGCCTCTTTCAGGACGACAAAAAAACACCACCCAGTGAAACAGTTTCTCTCACTAATCCTCTGATTTCTTACCCCGACCCGACTGAAACTGTTTTGTTTTGACGGTTAGAGAGGAGATAAGTAATTACTGATTATCTTGACAGTTTTTTGCCTTTCCTTTGAGTGAGTTATTTTGGTAATTAGGGCTTAAGGAGAGATGTTTTAGCCCTGTGTTTATTGGGACTACTTTCACCCTGAGGTATGACTGTAACGCCGCCGTAGACCTTCATACCTTCCCTCAGGGGCTTCACCCAAGGAGGTCTTGAGTTTTTTTTTTACTTGTCAGAGTGTTAAACCTGGAAGGGACAAGCTTTAACTAACCCAACAACAACATCCAGCCTAGATTTATAGCCTGATAGCTGCATCAAGGAAACACCCTCCAGGAGCTGTAGCTTTCGGGCTTCTTTGTTTTTTTTTGTAAAGAAAGAAGTTCATTTTTTAAAAGTAGATTTTATAATTTTCCTAAATTGCTCATTAAGTTCTCTCAGTGGTTTTTTTGTTATTCATGAACATCTCTGTTGTTTCCTTTTTATTTCCTAATGAAACAACCCGCTGTGCCCACGTGTATCATGTGAATCTCATCACCGTTGTTTTGTCATCAGAACATGATACACCCACTCTGATGTTGCAGGACGCTGCGGCTCGGCGGCCTCGCGATACTCAGAGCTCAGCTGCACTCAGTCCCGTGTGTTCGATGAACTGGAGGCTGTCGCCCCTCGGTCTGCATCCGGTCGTTCTCTGGACGAGGCGTTTGACTCATCCTGTCGTTCTTCACCTGATAGAGGTACTCACACACACAAACACACACCTCGTCTAATAAAAAGACTCAACCACCATGAAATCTGGTTCACAATGTCATGGTTTCCTCAGGATGATTTCTACAGACTTATATAATATTTGCCTGATAATTTACTTTTAATCAACATTTTTTTGGGTGAACACAACTTTTGTTATTGTGTTTGGTACAGTGATTGTTTCAGTCTCTATATTAGATTAACCAGATACATGTGCACTCGGTCTGTATCAGCCATCAGCCCATGTTGGCCAACAAAAACAGAGTGTGTGTGTGTGTGTGTGTGTGTGTGTGTGTGTGTGTGTGTGTGTGTCCATGCCTGTGTTAGGATAGCATGTGTAAAAGTGTGTGTGTGTGTCCTGGAGGTGGTTCAGTGATCTCCTGAGAGAGACATTAGCCAATGAAGACTTCCTCCACCTCCCTCATAGCCAGCTAATCCCCGACAAGGTGTTTAACCTGCTTGCTTGACCTGGACCTCCATGCGACCCCGAAGACCTTTGCCCCAAGGATGTTTGGAGGATCAGGGTGTCCGCTGCCATGACAACCACAGAGTGATAAAAATCAACCCAGGGCTCAAAGACAAAATGCTTTGGCACTTTGTGAGCTAATGCTGCAGACTGATTTTTATCAGACAGTCACAAGAAGCACATTTTACATCTGTAGGGGGCTGAGGGAACTGAGCCATTTATTTAAACATTCTTACTTTGATTTGGCACACAAGAAGAAAATTACTTCATGGAAAGAGCTATAAAACCTTTTTGTATTATAAAGCACATTTAAAAAACCGAGTGGGTGGTAACACCTTAATCACACGCTAAGTTGTTTGTTATCTGCCACTTTGTTTGCTGAGTGTCTCTGGATCTTGCTGCTACTTTTGGCTAATTGTGCGCTAATGCCCGGCCTAACTGAAAGTGTGTCCTCTCACATTATATTACACACACACACACACACACACACACACACACACACACACACATGCACAGTTATCCCTGGGATTTCCTCTCAACGACTCCTTCATTTGTCTGAACTGGCTAACAGTTCCTTTTTTTCTCACCTGAGCGATTACTTTACAGAGTGTCAGCACACCTTGAGACACCCACACGTGTCACTTCCCAACTGAAAACCCTGAGCAGAAGAATGTGTGCGCGTGTGTGTGTGTATGTGTGTGTGTGGAAGCAGATTGGTCTCTTTGCATCACAATTTAATTGAAAGAAACTGAAATCTTTCTGTCTGTGAGAAGTCTTATATATATATATATTTATATGGATATGACACTTTTCTGCAGTTTTCTGGGATGTTGCTGAGAAAGTGCGTGTGTGTGTGTGTGTGTGTGTGTGTGTGTGTGTGTGTGTGTGTGTGTGTTGCGGGGTACCTGCAGCAGAGCGTGTTGTGTGAAATCCCCTTTCGAGAGGAATGGCAGCTCCACACCCAGCCAGCGTGGGCTGAGGATTTGCATGGGCACCGAGCCACAGTGTCACTGATCCGCTTTTAATTGGGTGTGACGATGAGAACTCTAGAGCTGGGGGGGGGGGGGGGGGGGGTTGTTAGTGGTGGGGGTATTTGGGATTGCGTTGAGAGAAAGCGTTGTAGTTTACAGTAATTTCCTAATCCAGTTCAACAAGTCATTCAAGCCAATTTTGCATCATTACCTAGAAAGGTCAACCGTTGTAATTTTCCAACATGTTTCCATATATGGAGGTTTATTGTCTGATTATATATGATATATATTTTAAAGTATTTTTTTCACCTTTATCGCACGTAAGTTCTGTATGTATTCGTTTTTTTGTCCTCCTCTAACGTCGCACATCTAAATAATACAAGACTTTGCGTGTTTTTGCATACGCTGCAGCCGTGTAATTATTAAATAGCAGGTGGTCTCTGCTCACAGTTTCTTCATGTTTACATTTCAAACACACGGTCCATTATTATTTAGATTTATATATGTCCCATTGTAAGGCTACAGCCGGAGCTTGTTTGTTTTTGACAGTTTTTTACGTCACCTCAGGGTTTGTTTGTTTTTTCTGTTTGAAATGTTCCAATACATTTTCAAAGATTCTTCAGAAAAAGACAATCAACAATCCTGCTGAACTTGGAAACTAACCAAATCCTAAACCAAATCCACTTCATTTAACGTTCAGAAAAAAACAACAAAGGCTATGTTTGGTTTTCTGAGGGATCACTCACTCTGCTCGGTCACAATTGAAAGAGTTCAAGCATTTCTTCGTCTTTTCCTTGAATGAGAGGGAAATTGGAAGATGGACAGATGGATGAGTCGGCTGCTTTTCATCCTGAGGGGAACATGAACCTGGACACCAAATTTCACGGGGGAGCTAATTGGGATGTCTAAGCTTTCAGTTTATCGCCTGCAGATATGAGCTAGTGATGGTTGTGACCCGAAGAAAGAGATTAGGGATACAGCCACATTTCTTCTACTAATTCAGGCTCTGTTGCTCCTTCTGCTCCTCTCCCTGCAGAGCTGTCTCCTGGCCTGGCTGCGCTCACTGTGGGCTGTGACTCAGGGAATCTGGGCTCAATTTCCCGCGTCCAGTTGCTTCTTCTCGACAGAAACGAACCCGAGACCCTGCCGAGTCCCTCTGGTTATGAAGACGAGCTGTCGCTGGAAGAGGACTGGTCTGATATGAGAATGCTAGACGATCCAGAACTGACTTCAGCAGGTATAAGCCTTCATGAAGCAGTTACATAAACAGATTTAAAGGAACAAAATCAACCACTTTTTAGAATAATTTGAATTTTATAATAACAACAACACATAGTCTGCTGACGAGCTTTATCAGTAGCCGTCCACTTAAAATAAAAATAAAAGAAACAAACAGATGACATTTTAAGATTTACTGTATTCTCCTGTCCCATATAAGAACTAAAATGATAAGAATTCAACTCCATAGTGAACCAATCTCCAGATCTCAGTAAGACAAGGCAGATATTCAGACTTTGGGTGGAAGTGCAGTTCATAGGAATTTCAGGAAAAGTAATGTACACTCAGTTTAATCCCAGGATTAAACATAATCCTGCAGAAATAACCTGATAGACTTGATACACGCTGCGTGTTTAATACCAGCTGGAAACTGAACCAAGAGAGGAAGTTAAAGCTCAACAGAAGAAAACTTGGCTTCAGCATCAACTTTCTGTCTTTCTATTTCAACTTTTTTTTTTTCTCCGACCACAAGTTGCCAAAATAACTTTGATTTATCTACAATCGCCTGAAATCTCAAATCACTTTTTTGTTGTTGTTGAGTATTTACAAAAAACAACTTTGACTGGCATGCAATCTCAGTTAACGGAGTGTCAACCCTGCTGTGACAAATCTTTCTGACAGTTTGAACGAGATCGTTTGATAAGCAAAAACCGTCACTTTAATAACTGGGAGCAGTCAGACAGGTGTGTGGCTGTGTTTGAGGAGAAAACACACACACATGACCAGACGGTGGGGGGGGGGTGAAAAACAAGACACTGTAGGTGTGTTTTCTCCGTCCGCGGCCGGCCTTGAGGGCAAAGCGATGCCTTTATGGCGTCGAGCGGCTCGTACTTTTAACGAGCCGTGATACCGCCTCTCATCTGCTCCCAGGCATGCCGCTGCGAGCTCTTAACTGCTTTTCCCTCTTCAGGTGTGGCCGCTCGGAGGACGGTTTATAGGGATATCAGGATGTTCCATATTAATAAAGATCAAACCGCTAGAGTGGATCATTAACCGGGAAAGTCCGACTCAGATAGCAGCAGAGACCTGGAACCAAGTGCTGAATACATAACAATGGATAAGAAGCGTGTGCAGCAAAGTCATTTAGTGCAGCGCCTGTTGTTTGTAGTCTGATAACACATCGCAGAGAGAGATAAACACTGAAGGAGTTTAAAGGTTCAGCTTTACCACTTATAATAAGAAACATCTCTTGACTTGACTCGAGCGGTATGAAGCCATGCAGAACATTTTATGGTCATTTTTATCAGGTTTGAGTGTTTGCTCTAAATATAAAAAGTGTAAACAAAAACACCTCTTTGCACAAAGTTTCCTGGTTTGGACCAGAGCTTATTTTATTATTAAGTAGTTCATGCAATATGTCAGACTGTTTTCCTCAGTACTGCAGTCAAATTCACATTAAAAAAGCATTCAGTCATAGAGAGTCGGAAAATGCAATAATCCTTCAGTTATATTCATATATACAAACTTTTTAGTTTTTGTTTTTTTAAGTAATCTGAGGTTTTTTTTCCAGCTCTTGAAAACGTTTTGTTTATTGAATCACGGTTCAGCACCAGGACAGATGTATGCACTGAAATCATTTCAAGAATAATGCTGCCATACCGCTACTTTGGATAATCCGTAGACCTCACTGTGAACAGCAACACCTTTAAATACCTTTAACCTGCATCGTATTGGCATGGCTTCAGAAATCAAATCAAGGGGGAATAGAATGAAATCATTCTGCACATGGTTTAATGTCATCAGTGGAAAGTATGAAAACCTGTTTTTTTTTTTGTTTAATGTTCTGACTCAAGGAACAGAAATTAGAGCCATTGTGTGTTTGTTTTTTTATTCATGCATGCATGCCACTAATGTTTACAACCAGAGTAAATCTGTCTGACTCCTTCCTCCCTCTGTGTCTCCTGAACAATATTAGCACCTGGCACGCTTCTGCAGACAGGTGCTCGTCTGGGGTTTTGTTGCTCCATTTTTGCCATTATTTGCTCAGAGATTAAGAGTCATAATTGGAACTAATACTCGACATTACTCATATCTGAGCACACACACTCCAGCACAAAAGAGAAGTGCATTTAAGCGTGCGCCCGGAGGCTAACACTTATGTACACATGTGCACTGACTGCCGCACACGCCTACCTTTGCCTGCACCACGACTACAAACGCACAATTGCGTCCTCTCCTCCTTGCTTGACGCTGTGTCCTGTGTGGTTTTGTCAGGTGTCTCGAGGCCCCTCACAGCTGGCAGCGGCTCTGAAAGGTGTGACTCTGCAGGGAAAGTCCATGAAAACAAATCGGTGAGTGCTTGCTGCTGCCGCTTTTCACTCTCTCTACCCCCCTCCTCCGTTCATCTATCAGATTTCCTCCAAAGGGAAGGACTGCGCCTTGTCATGCACAAACACTAGACCTCTAAAAAAATTCAACTTCTTCAGACAATAACCCTGAACCTGGCACACACAGGGCCCCTTCCACACAAAGACCCCCTTTTGCAAACTTGAACTGGCATGCATTTATAACTGTCATTCCGGTAAGACGAGCCAAATTGTTGTTGATAATTGAGACACAATATAACAGAGGGCACGCGGCGTGCAGCAGGTGTGTGGTTAATCAGTCACGGGCTGCAGGAGGGGGGTGGAGGTTCGGGGGGCTGACTGTACGGGAGCAGGCAGCTCATTGCTTTAGTGCAGGAGGGGGGTACGCTCGGCTAAACGCCCAACATGCTGGGATTCTTTCAAGGATGCACCAGCACCAGGATCAGACGGGGGGTTTGGGGGCCGAGGGGTCAGAGGGGTAAACAGGGCTTGTGCATGCTGGGCTGCAGTGGAATGGATGCAGGTGCTCCACGTGATCTACGATTAATCTCCTCTTTATGACGGATGAGAGAGAGCCCCTGAAAAGCATGAATGAGACTAGTAAACCCCCTGCAATTATGCCAAACCACAATGACGAGCTGGAGTGCTCACGGCTGGATTCATACGACTATTTGCATAAATGCACCTCACAGAAGCAAGAATACACACAGTGGATTATTTAGAAAGAAAGAGATAAATATTTAGCCTTTGGTCAATTTGGAGCAGGAAAGTGGGAGGAGCTCTGGTCTGGGTTAGAAGCACTAAAAACAATGAAGATTCCCAGTTAACCCCAAATGTTCTGAAAAAGTGGAATTGGAAAAAATCAATGCACAGACGTGTGGTGTATTTATTGAACGCTATACACATTGTAGTTGCTGTTATTAGGTTTCTTTAACACTCTTGTTTCTTTAACTGACTTCTTCCATAACCACTAAAAAGTGACCACACAACAATATTTTATGCATTGAGTCAGCTCGGTTCTTTATGTTTATGCATGCAACCACGGTAAAAAAAAAAAAAAGGGGTTTTATATTCTCATTATTAGTTTTTATGTTTTTTTTTAAATATTTTTAGTGCTTATTTACTTTGTATTTAATATTATATTGTGTTTTTTTACTCATATTGTGTGTTTGGATAACCTGCTGCTTTAACGCCACAATTTCCTGGCTTGGCTTCAATAAAGTAATTCTATTCTATTCTATTTAACTTCGACATCACTTCAAACCAATACACCTCACTTCCTGTCTCTTGATCACATGATGACAGAAGTCTATAGAATGACAATGTATTTTCAAAATAAAATACAGGAATAAGTAAACGTTTAACAATATTCCCAAAATAAAACTGAAATGTGCTCCTTCCTTTACTCCAGCAGATCATATCTTTCAAACAATAATTAAACAAATGTATTACAGGAAAATGTTGCTTTCCGACAATGATCTTGAACGTGCAGGTTTTGCAGGTGTAGCCCTGAAAAGGTAAATGTGACATGTTCTGAAATAGTTCAAATTCAATCCTTGATTTTTTGCTATTTAGTCTTTGATGTTTGCAAAGTCAGAGATTGATTTCCTCGTTCTCTGTAGCCAATGGCAGACCATATTTTACAAGAATGCATTTTTCTTGTTTATTCTAGGATCAGTCTGAAGGATGTTCAGGCTCCCCGTCGTCATGGATCATAGACCCGAGTCCATCACACGACATGTTCACATCTGCAGATTCTCCCTGTAAGTCCAAAATAGCAGCACTGTGTCTCTTAACTGTACCTATGAAATAATCTTTTACCTTGATCTGTGTGCAGCCACAGCATATCACCTCTGTGTTAAAAGTGGAACTCTCTCCTAAGAGCCTATAACAACAATACTTAATCAATACAAGAGCCCGTCCTCACCATTAGCGTCTGATCCGGTAAAAGCCCACTCAGTCCCTGTCAGCTCTGGTTTATTAGGAGCCATTGTCTCCTCACTGTCAGCGCTGTGTTTAGCGTTCCCTTGTCTCCGGTACACTTAAGCCCGATAATCCTTGTGAGGACCAGCTGCCTCAGAGTATCACCTTCACCTGTGTGGCCGGCTTGTGTACCTTCATGAGTGATGGTGCAGAAGCTTACTGTACAGACTGCAAACACTGGAAAGCTGACAGCGACGGGGAGGGAAAAGGTCAGGGGGAGCTGTCGCCACATGGAAATGGTGAGCTGGATTCTTTTTCTTCCCCCTTAACATCTTCATTAGGAGCATAGACTGTGATCGTGTTTTGTGATTTCTCGCTGGTGACTCACATGTCCAGACTCATTGTTCTCTCTCCAGTTTTAAACAATAAATCAATCTTTATTTATACTGGAGATAATATTGAGGGGCCACACATGTTAATAATGAAATTGAGTCAGTTACAAAAGCAATTACAAGACAGATAATAAAGCGGCATAGGATCCAGAAGACAGATTGAAAAAGGCATGTAAACCGCTGGATAGATGGATTATATGTATCATATCATATCATCTTATAAAAATCATGTCATATTGTATCTGTCGTATCGTAGTGTATCATATTGTATGTATCGTAATTAGGGATGTCGAATGATTCAAATTTGTCATCGCAATTAGTCGATCAAGGAACATCATATCGTATGCTGTTCAATTGTTTTAGATATTTCTAAAGACACACCTACAGAGAGCGACACCTCTTTGCTGTTCGTTTTGGATCTTTGCAGTGAATTATGATCTTCAACTCCGTCTGTGTTCCTAAAGAGGACGAGTGACTACCCTTCTTATAGAGCGAGATTGATTTATTAGCCTGTTAAACGTATACAGTCTTAATCCATTGTCGTAGTTCACAATGACTAAAATTCCCTAAAGCAGCTTTCTAACTTTTACAGCTACTTTAACACGTCGCCTTCTGTTTAACTGCGCGGCCAGAGTTAAGTAACTAATGAAAAGAGATGTCACCCGGAGGATCTTCCTGATGGCTGTTGTACTCTGACCTTTTAGAGGCCAAAGGCATGGTCACTCTCTGAGGAGGAGGGAGGAGGAGGTCATCAGCAGGGCGTGGAGGGGTCAGTCCTGAGGTCACACAGTCTCTAAAAGATGCCCAGTGTGCGGGGGTGTCTTTGTGGGGATAGGTGAGATTCGGTTACCCAGGAGGTGCAAGAAGTTCAACCTTTTGAATGAAGCTTGGAAGTAATGGAGGGAATGACCCCATTATGACTGAAGTCAGAATGAGACAGCTAAGGCAGCGGGCTCCGTTTTAATTAGGAACTGTTCATCTGTTCGGCTGATTCACATTGTTAAGCAAAATACAAACTTTTACTTTAAAGGTGCACTATGTAGATTTGGTATAAAAATGTGAAATTCTGTGTTATATTTTCTGAAGTAAATACACAAACTTTCTAAACATATACCACAGAATATGTACACTTCTCCAACTTTCAAATTTCTCTACCAAAACTCCATTGTGCACCATTAACTTCAGATCAAATATGAGATTTGGAAAGGGTCACTCATATTGACACACCAGCAGAGAAATATCACAAAACTAAGAACGTCCCTGTCATGCTAAATACCAACTTTGTGGCTTCAATTGAGTGACCTCCAAAAAAAATTGCATCCTAAATTTTTCCATAATTCATCTTAATATTGATGGTCATTAAAAAATAAATATTTTATCTAAATTTGGAAAACTTTCCACAGGCTGATTGTCGACCACATGATGAACAAATTAAACTTGCAAATGACTTAAATCAGCTCAAATGCCTTTATATTTATACACCTTGGAAATGTATTCTAATTATGTTTACTGGCTTTATTGTCATAGATAAATTGTCCACATTTCTCTGGATCAATCTCCAACAGTTTGAGAGATTCTTAGACTAAACTTGCAGCCAGGAATCATCGGTGTAAGATGCCCCCCTGCTCCCCAGCGAGGCTCATGATGAGACCTTTGTCCATCTCGGCTCATCAGGGATTCATAGGTGGAATAATCCCTCCCTCGTAATTGTTTCATGACTGTTTCCCCGCTGCCCCCGGTCACTCAGAGCTCCCCTCCAGTGTTTACCATTCAGCTGCTACTAAAGATGTTAGCATCCACATGAATGTAGCGATGTGCCAGGGCCACAAAGAGCACTAATCTGAACTGGCTCTGGTGGATTGTTTCGGGGAAAAGCTGAGGAAGCTGCGGGACAGATTAAGGCTCCAGAAAGACAGAGATGGTGCAAGGAGAGATTAGTCATGTACTAAGCAAGGATCGTTTCCCCCCCCAGAGGACCACACACTGACAGTGTAGCCATGTCACCATTGTCTGTAAGCCACCGCTGCTGTGGACTCATTGGCTATTGTCTCTGAAATCCTCTAGCGTTCCCTCCCCTCCCAAAAAAAAAAAAACTGGACTCAAGCCCTTTTGATTGGCACTTGTCAGGGCTGATAGAGAGAGTGACGTGTTGGGAAAGGCTTCGATAAAGGAGGCCTGAAAGGGAAAATCCCCTCCCCATGAATAATAAATTGTTGAGGATTTTCCTTTTTACTCCCATTCGTCCATTCTTTCAGGAGATAGAGAAGTGAAAGGCTCTGGGTGGCATCAGTGAATAGCCTCGGCACGCTGATGCTCATCCCTTTCTCAAACACGCAAAAAGAAAGAGGTACAAGTCCGACCTTCTTGCCTCTGCCTGGTGCGCTGGATGCTAAAGGGCAGGCGTTGTGTGTTGGAGAGAGCCGGACAGAGGGTGGGCGGTGTGTGTGTGTGTGTGTGTGTGTGTGTGTGTGTGTGTGTGTGTGTGTGTGTGTGTGTGTGTGTGTTTATTGTCTTGGGCAGCCTTTTTTCGGGAATCAGCGAGGGGATTTGACTCGGCCTCTCGCTGCCAAATCCAGCTATCTGCAGTGTTCAGATGCTGCTGTTGGTATGGTAACCTGCTCTGTGTGTTTTAGATGGGCTCTTGTTTCCAGATTGAACTGACCAGTAATCAGTGCGGTGCATTCATGGATTAGGCCGTGTTGGAGGTTAGGATAGGAGCTTTTTTTTTTTTTTTTAATAAAGGACCAAAACCAAATCCTGAATAATTTGAGTTGTGTGTTCAGCTTTCTTTTAAAGTTGTCTGGTCTGGACTGAGGGTTGTCACAATGCCATGATGAATGTTAAACTTCAATATGATACTATTACCAATCGATTTCTATACCTTTTTCGTTACCATGGCAACCAATGCACAAGTTCTAGGCCTGATTTTTTGGGGGGTTTTATTGCAGCAAAAATGCAAACAAACTCTTTCACACAAACATTGCACACATATGTTGGACATGTTTTACATCTCTGTGGATTAAAAAAAAAAGACTGAAGGTCTGCAGTGCTGAACACTTTTACGACCTTTATCTTGACTTAAAGATTTGAACCAGTTCTTCAACGTTAGGTCACTGCACAGATCATCAGAAAAATGACTAATCAACAAACCTGACACTTGATTGATTGATACAGTGCTTTTTTTTTATCAAGGAAAACCTTCTGTATTGTTGTAATTTTATGGTTTTTACCATTCAAACTCCTTTTTGGCATGGATCTTTCAAGCACTGATGTAGAAAATGATCGTTTTTTAAATCCCTTTAAAAAGAATATCTTTTGATATTGATTGTTTTGAGCATACATCATCAGATAGTTCATATTTATTTACCCCATGAAGCTCTAAAAGACAGAGACACAGTATAATTATTTGGTATTCCAGCTTTAGGTCAGAAAGTTGTGCAGAGACTCTTTCAAACTTTCTGTGTGTGCTGGACATCTGCAGTTATACCCGAGTCATGCAAAGTTTAAGACTGAAATGAAGTTTTTAGGCTTAAAAGAGTGAGGGGAAGTCTGTAGTGTGTTTCTGTAATTGATCATATTGTGTTGTATAATTGTTGCAAATATTTCCTGTTTCATCAGGAGGTCGTCTTTTAGCTAGATATGCAAAACTTGTTGTTCAGTTGGTGGAAATATATTCTTTGTTTTCTCCTAAGTTGCATGTTATTGAACTTTCACGGCCATCGTCCCTTTTGGCAATAATTCAATCTAAGTTATATTGTTATTATAAAACATTAAAATGAAAAGTTTCACGTTTTGGAGAGCCTGTCTCCCCACATCATATGCCCCAACATGCCACTGTAGATATCTCCAGCGTTTCAGAATGATCAATTCTGTGCTCTGAAGATGAATACGTTTCCTCATCCTGTCGTCTGTGTTCGGTGACATTGAGGCTTGGACACCGAGGGCTGACAGGAGCGTGTGATTGTGTGCAGCGTGGTGGAAGACGGCCCCCGTCCAATGAGACATAGCTCCATCAATCTGAGCTGCTGACCTCTGCGCGCTCACTGACGGGACAAATGAATCCACGGCACCACGTCTGATGAATCTTGCTGCCTGTCGCCTACTCGACCGGTCAAGCTTTTCTCTTCGTTATGAATAAAAACCATCTCCAAATGTTTCAGATTTAAATCATCGCTCACTTTACTTATACAAGTAACACTTGTGTTTCAAAATGTGGAAGAAAAGAGTCTGAAAAAAGTCTGATTTCAACTGTTGCAAAAGACAATCAGAGCGCTCCTTAAAGCTCAAGTCTGCATTGCTGGCGAGCTTTGTCTCAGCGCTGGAGTGTATTCTGTGGACTTTATATTCAGAGATAATGGGACCCTTAATTGGCCGGTCAGGGACAAAATGGACGGCTGTTTAAGGTTCAGGAAGAGCGTCTGCTGCTTAGTGAGACTCTGAAAGGACTGAAGGGAGATGTGACTGTGGCATTTAGGAGAACAATGTGATGACATTTAGTGTTTATTAAAGGAGCAGAAATGGCTTCTTAGTGCTTTTTACTAAGTGGCTTCTTCCACAGAAACAATCATGAATACCGATGTGGTAATGTGTTTTTTTAAAAAGTAAAAAAAAAAACATTTAAGACACGGCAAAAGACTTCATTACTCATATTTATTTATGTTGTATTTCTTCAGCTTTCAGTGCAGATGACGGCGGCCTCACTGAGGAGGACTCTGATCATTCGGGACGGAGGGACCAAATTGAGACGCCAACAGGAGAAAGGAGGCCTCACCTCAGCCCTGAAGAGAAGGAGAGAAGGATGGAGGAGAAGAAAACAAAGGCCCTAAGCATGCTCTCAAAACTGCAGGATGACGCTCCTCGTCAGGCGAAAAGCAGCAAAGGTCGCTCCAACTTTGAGGACTGTGAGTCGATCATCTTCAGAAAATGTGTTCATTTTATTCCCTCTCACATAACGGGTGACTTTTTTTCAGGCCACACACTATGTGGTTTTATATTTTTAATATATATCTTTTTAAGTTGCATTAACTGCTTCGTCCAAAACTTAAATTCACAATGGTTTCCAGGTTCCATGGCTCCAACTGGTTTTGGGGTTCTGGAGTATTTTTGTCCTCACTTTATACCTCGTCAGTCAAAAATGTAAAGCGGTTTGGACAAGTTCACATTTTCAAATAGGTCTGAAAATTCAAATTCAAATTCAAAAAACTTTATTTGTTCAATTCAAAGACACACAGTTGCAGTAAATTAACAACAATGCAGGTAGACAAAACATTTTAACCTAAATATAAAAGTGTCAATTTAAATACAACTTAAAGCTTTAACTTAACTTAAAGAGTAGATATAAGTGGACAGTGATCGGACTAACAGATGTTAAACAGAACTATGTGCAGTAAACGAGAAATACAATATATATATACAAATGTCAGGTAAATTGTTAAGACTCCATTGGACACCATGTTGAATAAAGGAAGGTGCTTGATGTGAAGCATTTGGTTTGAATTTGATTATTTTGAGTGTTTTTCAAAAGTAAAAAATCAACTGTTTTCTTTCTCTGCAATGTTTCCTCCCTCTTTGTCGTCCAACACTCTTCTTTGCCTCTTTTTCACACCAAAGACAATGCAGGAAAAACAAAACACCTGACGCACTAACCAACACGCCTCTCGACTCCAAAAATGTCCCCTCATTTACGACACTTGATTTTTTTAGAATTGCCTTTTTTTTCGAACAGGAGTTTAGCCAGGAGTTCTCCAGTTTCCCTCGAGTGCCTAATTTCTGGCGTCTAAGCCTTTGTGAGCGCGCCGAGGCTGGCGGGGTCGGACAATAAGCATCCACACCTCAGGTCAAGGCTGGAGGGTCCGGCCCCCCCTGCAGGGGTCAGGCAGGTCAGAGTTGTCCTGTGAGTGCTGGCACACATGAATGGGACTGATTGGACCGGTTTGTCCAGACCGTAATCAAGCAGGATGAAGAAACCCTGCAGCTGGTCTCACTACTCTTATTGTACCACGAGGTTGTTACTGATGGAGAGCTTTGTTGGGTCACAGGAGCGTAGACTTAGGTTGTGTGTGTGTGTTTAATGGTGTTTTTATGTATATAGAAAATGAGTGAATTTGATGTAAGTACACATCTTCTTTTAGAGCGCTGGAGTTTCTGCTGCGATGGGGTTAGTTTGATTGACGGGAATCGCAGGGACACTCACAATACAACTCAGTGAGCAGACACTTCTGTAAAAGGCGACATACATCAGAGAGTAAGTACAACCAGGCGCGTTCAGTTCGGTTACAGCATTTTCTCCTCTTGGTTGTTCTTTTAGCTGTATTTATTTACTCCCGTAACTTTACGATGTAGCGGAAGTCCCCTTTGCAGTTTTTCAAAATAAAAGCACATTATATATGAAGACCGGAAATAAAGAGACCGAGGCATGAGGCAATAAGAAAAGCAAAATAAAAGCATCACAAAGAGTAGTTTTGAATCTCGTTTTGAGAGCTAACTGGGTTACTCACAATGGATGTTCATAAAGTTAGTGTCTAATTATCTTTTGTAACTTTGTCTTGTTGTATATGTGTCAGCTAACATCAGTTATCGGACATTAAATGAAACAGAATGTGTTGATTAGTTAGAGGATGGTAATATACTAGCATCAGAACACCGCACTTTTAAAATCGCTGCTCCACCCCTGAGTACAACATCAGCAAGGATCTAGAGAGGAGGAATCAAAGGCATTAAGTCCAACCGGACACAAAGGTGCTGACAGGCCGTGCAAAATGTTGTTTTTAGTTTGTTTTAAACTTATAACCAAAAAGCTCCAGGTCAGTAAGAGGTCAGACGGCTTGAAGAGCATGTCATGACTTTCTCCTTAAAACTAGAAGAGCAGTGATATGTGTTGTGTACATGATGTATTGTTCAGAGAGAGAGAGAGAGAGAGAGAGAGAGAGAGAGACGCTCTGTCCTCTCTGCTCGTGTTTGTGGGCGTGGTTTTGTTTGCAAAGTGTGTCCTGGTACAATCTGTCATTTTTTCATGCCTGAATATTCACCCGGCTCCTTTTGTTTTGTCCTCTTTTGCTTCTTTGCTCATACACACAGTGCTTATCGTGCGCACCCTGTGTGTCTGTGTGTGTGTGTGTGTGTGTGTGTGTGTGTGTGTGTGTGTGTGTGTGTGTGTGTGTGTGTGTGTGTGTGTGTGTGTGCGTGCATGTTGGCGGGCTCTTGTCCTGACACTTGTAACCGCGGCTCCTCATTAGGCTCTGAAAAGGCCTAACTGGTCATAATTGTCTTTGTTTTTTCTGTCCAATGCTGACCAGTTGCCAAAGGATTTTCCAAAATAAAGCGTCCCCCCCCACTCCCTCCCTACACACTCTCACACACACATACACACACCTATAACCTCTTGTACCTTTATCCTTCCATTCAACTCTGTGACCCTCCATGTTGTCATCAGTCAGTCGCTGCTGTCATGCTGCTCGTGTTTTGAAGTAACAGCGGTGCAGCGGAGAATAAGAGCAAAGACAATATGTAAACACAGGTAGACTGTAGAGCAGATGTAATCGCCACAAATGACCTCAAAGCACAGTTTGCAAGACGGTAATGTCTTAACAGAAACAGCAACTACTGTATTGACACTGAAACTGGGATGAAAAACAAGAACTTTATCCGGCTGCATCTAAATGGTATGAAAGGTCATTTTAATCAGGCTTCAATCCAACAGGTAAAATATAGACATGCTGAGTGAGAAAGCAAAGCCTGTGTAATAATGAATTGTATTGCTGTGTTAGGCTTCCCACCCTGAAGAGACTGTAAGTGCACGCAGGGAGAGTGTGACACTGATGTCAAGTACCTGTGCAGCTCTCCTTTGTGTCGCCACAGAGCAGCGGCTATAGCGTCTGCTGACCTGAATGTGGTGTGAGCGTCGCTGTGGCTGTCTGATGAATGTCAGCGTTGATACTGAACACCTGGCGGCCTTGAAGCCAGCCTCGCTGTGACCCCACCCACCCACCCACAAACACACACAACCCACCGCCACCAGCTTTTTATTACAATCGTCTCACCTACGGGCGGAGATCGGAGTCCTAATTGTTGTTTTCAAAACACTGAATGAGGCTTTTTTTTTTTTGTAAGACAGAAAATATAGCGAACAAGAAAGGCCTGTCACTTGAAAGAGAGATGTGAGGTGTGTGTAAAAGTCTGTGTGTGTGTGTGCAGGAGGATGTTTGGGTACAGTGCCTTTATGTAAGCCCTGTTTGCTCAGCCTTTGGTCTGGAATACCTCAGTGTATTTACCATCAGTCCAGAATGAGAGCGCAAACAAACAGCTCGCCCTATTGATGAGCAGCAGCGTGGAATATGCCCGCCGTGTTCACGAGAGAAAAGGAAGGGGTAGAGGGAGCGAGAGTGAAGTCAATCCGTCAAAGAGTCTATTATACGGTGTCCAAACAGAGAGCGCCCTCCACAATGGCCTTATTAATGGCACAATGTCGAGGAGCGGCAGGGCAATAATAGCTGATGATTTTGCTTTGTGGGGTTATCTCAGGAGATCTGTTTTTGCCATGCAGCAGATGATTTGGACTCCGAGGACATGTCAGTGTGGCTCTGCGGCAGGAGCTGATTGGGGCATAGGCGTGTGTGTGTGTGTGTGTGTTTGTGAGTGTGAGCAGAAAGCGTAAGTTGTGGTTTTGTGGTGAGGCTGGTGGCGTGCAGCCAGAGACATGAGTGTGGCCGCTACGTGTGTCTTTGTTTGTTTTCCTCGCAGAGCCCTAACCCCCTCCCCTCAACGCACACATAAACACGCTCAGTCTTTTTTTTTTTTTTTTTTTTTCAGGAGAAAGTGAGTGGGAGGAGTCGTGTGTTCATGGAGCAACAACAGCCTCAAAGGGAATGCTGCCAAATACTGCCACCAGCTTTCACATTGTAGGACCCACTTGAGTTAAAAAAAAAAACAGCTTGAGATGCCAAATTCTGCTCTTAAAGGTCGATATGTTTACAAACATCAGTGAGGCGCTCTGAATGTTGATGCCCAGTAAAGTCTTTATATAAGAAGTGGACATTGAGTCACTGGGTCTGCAACCGTTTGAAGCCAATTTAGAAGTGCACTAAACCTGTATTGTAATCTACCGACCAGCAGAGGGCATTGAAAAAAAAGTCATATTGTTTAAAAGTCTATGAGACAATTACGTTCATTCTCACTTGTTTCATTACTCAAATGTTTTTTAACGAGTGAGTCATCTCAATTGTTAGTTCAAAGTTTCGTCTGTACTGCACAATGTTGCTTTAAAGTCTTTCTATGTGATTTTTCACACTTAAATATAATAGAAATCAAGTATATCTGAAAATAACTCTGTGAGTCATGACTGTCTACAATGGGTGTAACACCCGAGTCCCACTGTCTGTGATGTTTTCAGAGTCCTATCTTCACTTTGTTTACATCGCCAGGACGGCCGGCTGACTCCTCCCCTCGTGTATAAAAGTTGTTTAATTGAGGGACTAGAGAAAAGAAGAATAACATACTGTACTCACTGCTTAACTGTGTTTCTAGATCACGCTCATTTCAGGTAAATTTACATGCAGTGTGAAGATACCAGCATAATAAAGATCGCTAGCATTAGCATGCTAACACAACAATGCAGCGTGAGTTGTTTTGGTTTCATGCTGGTGCTCAAGGGCGACATCTGCTGGATATATCCGCATATAAAGCCTTTTAAAAAAGACAAAATTGTGATCAAATTTAGAGTAAAACGAACTGTACATCAGGGAACGCTACCTTGAGATAAACAAGATGCTTTCGTTATGTCACTTTCAGCTTTCTGTAGTTCCACTCACATCAATCATCCCACTTCCTGTGCGTGTGTGCGTTTTTATGAATAACTGATGCATCTGCGGCTAACCATGCTAATGGATGTGTTGATACGTTAGCC